AATAGAATAGTAATTACAATAACACAATAACAATAAATAATGAAAGAATAATTGACACTTACCTTTAATGAAGATCTGGTGATGATTGATGGGATGGGAGGAGGGGAGAGTGTGGATGGTGTTAGCATTTAGAAGGGGAATCCCCCTCCATTAGGACTTGAGGTAGCAAGTCCTTTTCCGGGGTTACTTCCCTTCTTCTTTTAATGCCACTAGGACCAGGTTGAGAGTCACTGGACCTCTGTCGCACAACATATATGTCCATAGAGGCTTGTACCTCTCGTTCCTTTATGGCTTTCCTAAAGTGGTTCACAACATTGTCAGTGTAATAGTCACCAGCACGGCTTGCAATAGCTGTCTGAGGGTGATTTTCATCCATGAAGGTTTGCACTTCAAGCCACTTTGCACAGATTTCCTTAATCTTTGAAGTAGGCAACTTCTTCAATTTCTCCCCTCCTCCGAAGCAATTTCCTCAGGTGTGGCCTCTTGCTGTTGAAGTTGATCTAGCAGCTCATCAGTGGTTAGTTCTTCATTGTCCTCCTCCACCAACTCTTCCACATCCTCCCCACTAACCTCCAACCCCAAGGACTTCCCCAATGCCACAATGGATTCCTCAACTGGCATAGGCTTCTCAGGGTTAGCCTCAAACCCTTCGAAATCCCTTTTGTCTACACATTCTGGCCACAGTCTTTTCCAGGCAGAGTTCAAGGACCTCTTAGTCACTCCCTCCCAAGCCTTACCTATAAGTTTTACACAATTGAGGATAGTAAAGTGATCCTTCCAAAACTCCTTTAGAGTCAATTGAGTTTCTGTGGTCACTTCAAAGCACCTTTCAAACATAGCTTTTGTGTACAGTTTCTTGAAGTTGGAAATGACCTGCTGGTCCATGGGCTGCAGGAGAGGAGTGCTATTAGGAGGCAAAAACTTGACCTTAATGAAACTCATGTCCCCACAAAGTCGCTCTGACAAGTCTGTAGGATGACCAGGGGCATTGTCTAATACCAGGAGGCACTTTAGGTCTAATTCCTTTTCAATTAGGTAATTTTTCACAGTGGGGGCAAATGCATGGTGTAACCAGTCATAGAAAAAGTCCCTAGTGACCCATGCCTTACTGTTTGCCCTCCACAGCACACACAAATTAGCCTTGAGGACATTCTTTTGCCTGAACGCTCTGGGAGTTTCTGAGTGATACACCAATAAAGGCTTCACTTTGCAATCACCACTAGCATTGGAACACATCAACAAAGTAAGCCTGTCTTTCATAGGCTTATGTCCTGGGAGTGCCTTTTCCTCCTGAGTAATGTAGCCTCACCATGCCTAATCACACTATATATACCACTACGATTCTTAAATCTTTCAAACCAACCTTTGCTGGCCTTAAATTCACTCACATCACCACTAGTTGCAGGCAATTTTTTTACCAAATCATCATGCTACTGCCTAGCCTTTTCACAAATGATTGCTTGAGAGATGCTATAAGAACATAAGAACATAAGAATGTAGGAACACTGCAGAAGGCCTACTGGCCCATATGAGGCAGGTCCTTATCAAAACGACATCTACCTAAAGCTACTCAAGAAACAACTCCCGCACCCCCCAACACCAATCAAACCCAGCCCCTCCCACTCATATATTTGTCCAGTCTCTTCTTAAAGCTACCCAAGGTCCTAGCCTCTATCACCCCATGGGAAGACTGTTCCATGCATCTACAACTCTGTTAGAAAACCAGTACTTACCTATGCCCTTTTTCTAAATCTAAATTATCCAACTTAAATCCATTATTCCTGGTTCTTACCTGGTTCGACACCCTCAGTACTTTTATTAATGTCTCCCTTGTTTATGCCCTCATCCACTATACACTTCAATGATATCCCCCTCATTCTACGCCTCTCCAGAGAGTGGAGATTTTAAGGCTTTAAGTTATCTTCATACGGGAGGTTCCTTACACAGTAAATCATTTTAGTCATTCTTCTCTGTATGTTCTCTAATGAGTCTATGTCCACCCTGTAGTAGGGGACCAAAACTGAGCACATAATCTAAATGAGGCCTCACTAGTGATGTATAGAGCTGTAAAATAACTTTTGGACTTCTGTTACTTATACTTCTTGAGATAAATCCAAGTAATCTGTTGGCCTTGTTGCGCACACTGAGGCACTGCTGTCTTGGCTTTAGATTTCTGCTTACCAATGACTCCCAAGTCTTTTTCACATTCTGTATGACCAAGCTCTACTTCACCTAGATTATAGCTTCGAGGGTTATTTTCGTTACCAAGGGCAAGTACCTTACACTTATCCACATTAAACTTCATCTGCCATTTCTCAGACCAAGACATTAATTTGTTTCAAATCGTCCTGGAGTTCATTGATATCCTCCTCAGAGTGAATTATACGGCCTATCTTTGTATCATCAGCAAACTTACTCATGTCACTAGTAATCCCTTCATCAAGGTCATTAATGTAAATTATGAACAAGAGAGGGCCTAAAACTGATCCTTGTGGAACGCCACTAGTGACTAATCCCCATTCAGATTTCATTCCATTAATGGTAACTCTCTGCTTTCTATTGGTAAGCCATGCCTCAATCCATGCTAGAACTTTACCTCCTATACCATGAGCTGCCACTTTTCTTAAGATGTCTCTCAACATTTTCTAACACTTGCGGTCGCTGTTTCGTAATCACAGTTGCATCTTTTGCAAGAACAGCTTCCTTGATTGCCGTTTTCTTGCTCACTATAGTAGAGATGGTTGATTGGGGTTTACTGTACAACCTGACCATCTCCGACACACGCACTCCACTTTCGTACTTTGCAATTATCTCTTTCTTCATTTCAACAGTCATTAGCACCCTTGGTCTCGAAGGGTTGGCACTGGGAGCTTTCTTGGGGCCCATGGTGACTTATTTTTGCAAAAACAGTGATAATGTGGATAATATGGAATGTACCGAATGTATCCTTAGATGCACGCACACTGGCTGGCTTGTAAACACTGGCACACATGGGGCAGTTCAGGCCACACATGGACGCATCTCGTACAAACCACATCGCATACCGGGTTTTGTATCAGGAAGCGAGGCAAATTTTCTGCGATATAATGCATCGGTTACCGGATTTATCGAATACTGATAGCATCGTGAACTGGGGGTCCACTGTATTTGGACCTGATTGAAGCTCCCTTCTCCTCAAGATGTTTCGGGAATGTGACATTGTCTGGTCATTCCAGACAATGCTATTACGGCTTGCTTGGGCTTTGTTGAGGTGGTACTTCTCTGCAAAGTTTTTGACATCCATCCATTTAGCAATGATTTCCTTGATTAATGAAGTAGGGGTTTCCTCTGTCTCCTCTTCCAAGCCTGAAGAGAGTGCATCCATCTTGTCTTGTGCTCTTCCTTCTCAAGTTTCTGCAGCTCCTCAGTAGTCAGCTCTTCCCGGTGCCCTTCCACTAACTCTTCCACATCACCATCACTCACATCCAGACCCATGGACCTGCCCAGAGAGAGCATTCAAAGCCCTCAGTAGAGGCTTCAGTTTGCAATCCCCACTTGCATTGGCACAGAAGAAGAGAGTTAACTTATCCTTCATTGGCTTGTGTCCTGGTAATGCCTTCTCCTCTTGTGTAATATAGGTCCTGTTAGGCATTTTCTTCCAAAACAGGCCTGTTTTGTCACAGTTGAAAACTTGTTGGGAAACAAAACCCTCAGCATCCACAAATTTATTATTTATTTATTTATTTATTTATTTATTTAGTAATTTGAGCATACATACAGAGGTACAAAAAAATACAGGTAAGAGCAGCATGCCAAAGCCACTTATATGCATAGCATTACAGGCTGTAACAAAATCATGGGTGGCATCTTTATCAGCACTGGCTCCCTCTCCATGCCTCTCAACACTGTGAATGCCAGTCCTCTTCTAAAAATGATCTAACCAGCCATGACTAGCTTTAAACACTTCACTTTCTTGACTCGTTCCTGCCTTGTTTTTCACAAGATCAGCATGCATCAGTTTTGCCTTTTCGCAAATCATTGCCTCTGATAAACTGTCGCCGGCATACTGTTTTTCTGTTATCCAGATCAGAAGCAATTTATCTATGTGCTCTAATGTCCCTGATCTTTGTTTGTTTATCGATTTCACCTCCATCGCAACGTTAGCCGATTTAATAACATCTTTGTTTTTCACAGTCGTAGATACCATTGTTCTCGGCATATGGTATGCAGCAGCCAAGTCCTGGATACGCATGCCACCTTCATACTTTTCAACAATCTCTTTTTTTCACCTCCATGATGATCCTAACCATTTTCTTCATTGCTTTGCTCTTCTCATTAACTTTCTTAGAACTCATGGTTAATGAATTTACTAAAAATTTATATGAAAAAACACAAAATCACGTGAAAATTCACAGAGTTACAGCACGGGTTGTTTACTGAATGGTAGCAATGGGCTTACTGATGCTATTGGGCAGTCAAGGCTTTGTCTTGAGAGAGAGGTAAACAAGGGTAGCGCATGGTGTCGTGACTCATTTTGATCCATGGAAGTTCTAACACACGAGTCGTATTCCAAACAAAGGTCATGTACCAAGCTGAAATTTTCGCGTCTAAACAGGACGTATACCAAATTGGACTTATTCCAACGCGGACGTATACTGAGGTACCACTGTATTTTCTATTACCCACTGAAAACTTTGTTGATAATGCATATGTTTCTAAACTTTTTGTGTATTCTATCAAAGTGACTTTCTGGCTTATTTTGGTATCATCCACAGAGGAGGATAGAAAACTTTTATAAACTTTTCATTTTAATTTTCAGGAGTATTTTCTCTGTCTGGTTTATGGTTTTAGCATGAACATTAATTACAATTTTTTTTGTATAGTACATTTGTTCATGCTTGTTGTGTTGATATTTGTTACATAGGTTTACCTTTTGTGCTCTTGTGTATTTAAGTGCTCTGCAAATCTCACCACTTCCTTTTTTTGTACTATATATGACTAGAATTTTTCATGTGTTTCAGGAGGAAAGCAAGCCAGCTCTTTTCGATAGTACACTAGCCAGCCCTGGAGATGCCACTAACCTGGCAGGCACCGAGACCTCACTCATGAAACAGTTGGCTCTTGCAACCTCAAAATTAAGTCAACTTGAAGCTGAGAGAGAACATTGGAGGCTGGAGCACCAGCTTCTGCAGTGTAAACATCAAAAGGAAGCAAAGGTTTGTAGTGGCTCTTGTCATCATCATCTCAAGATCTGCCATTGCCTTAGAGTAAATTTGTAAACTTTCTCTTGAGACTTGAGTCCTGGAGGTGGGAAGCACAGTGCCTTCACTCTAAAGGAGGGGTGGGGGATATTTGCAGTTTGGAGGGGCATGTGAACTGTAGTATCGCATGCCTCTGGCAAGACAGTGATAGAGTGAATGATGATGAAAGTGTTTCTTTTTTGGGTCACCCTACCTCGGTGGAAGATGGCTGGTGTGTTAAAAAAATATATGTTTTCTTTCCTCTCATGCCAGCTGTTAAAAGAGTGGTAAGGGAATGCAGAAAAAGAGTTAATAAGAGTGGGTGAGGTTTGATCAAAAAATTTTGCTGAGAACAAGAAAAAGTTTTGAAATAATATCAGTAAGTTTTTTTTTTTTGTTGTTGTTGTTAAAAAAAAAATCAGTAAGTTTGGGGTTGGTGGAAGTATAAGAAAGACGGAGGAAATATTTTGAAGAGTTTTTGAATGTTGAAGAGAGGGAAGCAGTGATATCTTGCATTGAGTAGGGAGGAAGAGCTGGATGGGTGTGTATGGGAGGCAGTGGGTAGAATGAATGGGGGTAAACCAGTTGGAGTAGATGAGATAAAGACAAATGTTAACAATAGGTGGGGATATAGTTTCAGAGTGGTTGGTGCATTTGTTCAGTATATGCTTGAAAGGGAAAAGGTACCTAAGGTTTGGCAGAGAGCATGCATAGTTCCTTCGTATAAAGGAGAGGGGGATAAAAGAGAGGAAGAATTATAAGGGAATAAGCCTGTTGATTTAGATAAAGAAAAATTGGATATCAAATTGGGGAGGAGGAGTATGGAAGAAGTGAATGTTTTCAGATACTTGCGAGTTGACGTGTCGGCGGATGGATTTATGAAGGATGAGGTTAATCATAGAATTGATGAGGGAAAAAAGGTGAGTGGTGCGTTGAGGTATATGTGGAGTCAAAAAACGTTATCTATGGAGGCAAAGAAGGGAATGTATGAAAGTATAGTAGTACCAACACTCTTATATGGATGTGAAGCTTGGTGGCAAATGCAGCAGCGAGGAGACGGTTGGAGGCAGTGGAGATGTCCTGTCTAAGGGCAATGTGTGGTGTAAATATTATGCAGAAAATTCGGAGTGTGGAAATTAGGAGAAGGTGTGGAGTTAATAAAAGCATTAGTCAGAGGGCAGAAGAGGGGTTGTTGAGGTGGTTTGGTCATTTAGAGAGAATGGATCAAAGTTAGAATGACATGGAAAGCATATAATCTATAGGGGAAGGAAAGAGGGGTAGGGTCGTCCTCAAAAGGGTTGGAAAGAGGGGGTAAAGGAGGTTTTGTGGGTGAGGGCTTGGACTTCCAGCAAGCGTGCATGAGCGTGTTAGATAGGAGTGAATGGAGACGAATGATACTTGGGACCTGACGATCTGTTGGAGTGTGAGCAGGGTAATATTTAGTGAAGGGATTCAGGGAAACCGGTTATTTTCATATAGTCGGACTTGAGTCCTGGAAATGGGAAGTACAATGCCTGCACTTTAAAGGAGGGGTTTGGGATATTGGCAGTTTGGAGGGATATGTTGTGTATCTCTATACGTATATGCTTCTAAACTGTTATATTCTGAGCACCTCTGCAAAAGCAGTGATAATGTGTGAGTGTGGTGAAAGTGTTGAATGATGATGAAAGTATTTTTTGGGGGGGATTTTCTTTCTTTTTTTTTGGGTCACCCTGCCTCGGTGGGAGACGACCGACTTGTTGAAAAAAAAAAAAAAGCCTGTTGAGTATACCAAGTAAAGCGTATGGTTGGGGTATTATTGAAAGAATTATGGGTAAGATAGAGAGTAGGACTACAGAGGAACAAAGTGATCTTTTGTGTATAGTTCTATAATCTTTACATTACATCCTTGAATTGTATTGATAAAGCCACTGGATGGCAAAACATCTATGAATAAAGATACCCAGATGTTGCACTATTACATGTTATTTAAAGTTTGAATACTTACTTACACAACTACTCCTTACATAAATTTCTAAAATGTATGAACTTTGATAAATTTTATTGTTCCTGGTTAAAATTGGATTAATAAAGTTACTAGAAATAACTAATTCTTGGCTTTATTTGTTGTCTTTGCCTAATAGATTACCATCTCCATTTCTCTCTCAATTTTTATCCCTATTTGAATACAAATACACTGATAACCTGTTATTTAAGAGGAAACATCAGACAACATTTTGATGCATTTTGAACCATTATGAAGTCAGATCGTAGGATAGACTAAAATGTGTATTAAAGTTTTCTCGTGGTATTGTGAGATGTGGATTGTTCTGGCCGTGATATTGTGACTTATTATCGATGAACAATGTTACCGTATTTACAGATGAACATGATTATTCGATGTGACTAAAGTCGGATTTATTTTACTCTTGTAGCGTGTTCGGCAATTGGAGAATCAACTAAAGGGTGAGGTTACAGCTTCTGCGGAATGTGACCAGTTACACACTAAGGAACACTCTGCTTCAGTTGCATCAACTACATCAATAGTAAGTTATACACCAAGGAAAAACACTGCTGGTTCATCAGCTACATCAATATTAAGTTACACAACAATGGAAAAAACTGCTTCAGGTACATCATCTGCATCATTAGTAAGTTACACACCAAGAAGCACTGGTTTAGGTTCATCAACTACATCAGTAGTACTGTTAATACTGACTTGAAAGTAGAGTTTTAATGCTCAGTTTTTTGTTGTTGTTTATAATACTAGGGATTCACTTGTATGATGGGTAGAAAATGACAAACATTGAACCACCACCTCAAAAATACTCATCCTGGGTTGCTACTCTCATTTCCAATACTCAAATACTGCTATGGTACCTGCCTATGCTGATAAGTAAGACATGTCTTCAACAGCTGATAATTAAGACAAGTGAGGTGCCTTGATTCCAGTGAGAGAGGGGGCACTTGATCCAAGAAACTGTACTTATCTTTCCCTTCCTTTGATTGAATCTGAATGCCTCCCATTCCTCAGGTACTATATGACCACTATGAGTTTAGCAATCCCTCCTGAATAAAGTAATTTAATGGATATTGAATATGAGGACAAACTAATCTAGTCATACTTATTTTTGCAGGCTGGTGAAGTGTATGGAGTTGATGGAGCATCAGAAGAGAGAGAGAAGGACATTAGGAATCATTTTACAAGTCGTTGTTCTCACCTATACATGCAACTTACATCAGCAACAAGCCAAGCGGCTCTTTATCAGAATGAAGTAAATTGTCACTCTTAATATATTGTCACAAAACTCTCTACATATGGTATAATTTGTTGCCTATATATTTTGTAATTTTTTAAGTTGGTTTGCAGCTCAAATTAAACCATTATAGAATACGAGGACAGTCCCTCTCATACACGAAATCTTACCAGGGTGACAGACACCAACATATGATCATTAATGAATGTTCTTCAGCAACCCGATCAATCATCAAAGGGGTTCCACAAAGTAGTGTCTTGGGGGCTTATGCTATTTGTAATCTACATCAGTGATCTTCCAAATGCTTCACAGGAGCTTGAACCAATTCTGTTTGTTGATGACACAACTTACGCTATTTCAAATCCTGATCCAGCTGCTTTCAACAACACAGTAGTGCTGAACTTGCTAAAATATCTACTTGATCATGACTGACCAACTCACAATCAAACAAGACCTTCTATATAATGTTAAGAAACAAAGCAGTATACTGTACCAAATATTAAGATGAGGGTAAATTCACTTCGACGACAAACTAAAATTCTACACTCGCATCCAGAACATTCCTAAAAAAAAAAAAAAAAAAAAAAACTGTGGGCATTCTCTCAAAATATGCTACTGTTCACCAAACATCCCTGCTTACTTTGTACTACTCTAATCTATCCATACCTCACCTATGGTATCAGAGCATGGGGATCATCAACAGCTAATCACTTTAAACCTGTTGTTACTCAACAAAATCATCTCAGAATAATTGTTCATATCAGGCTCCAGGTAATACACACACCCCTTTATTCAGAAGTTAAAATTTGCTTAATGTACAAAATATTCACACTTTCTGCTGTGCATGCTATTTCAGTAGGACATTGAATTCAAATATTAACTCAGAACTTAAATCCTATCTGGAGAGCTGCAGCACAACACTTGGACACAATACAAAGAACAAGGATCTTTGACATTCCATGTGTACGACTTGACCTGTTCAAAAACATCATGCAAATTATAGGTCCAAAAACTTAGAACTCATTGCCTGAAAATACCAGAAGTTTCCCAACTGCCAACATCTTCACTAATATTGTTAAAAAGTGCCTATTAAATCTCACATAAATGTTATATCGATCAACTCTAAATTCTCAATCTTTGATTTCAGCACCTCAATTCAACCACTCCATCAAATGCAGGTCATTGAACTGATGCAATTTCAATGTGATTTGCATATTTGCAATTGACCATGCAACCTGTCTCATCATACTTATGATTGTTATGAGTTGCCCAGGTTGTATTGATTTATATTATATTCTATACTAGGTCTTGATATAAAATGTGTAAGCCTTATGATTATCTCACCCAAAATCTATTTGCATAGTTAAAGCCTATATAGCTCATCACAAATAATTTCTTTTTTTAATTTGTATATTGAATAGGGTAGGTTTTAGGCCCTCTGAAAATGTTTGAATATAGTTAGAGGAGTTCTCAAAATTCTTGTTGCTTATGCATTCATTAACAGTACAATACACTAGAGAAGTGTGTGTGAGCATGGTAGATGGGAGTGAAAGGAGACTAATGGTTTTTGTGACCTGATGAGCTGTTGGAGTGTGAGCAGGGTAATATTTTGTGAAGGACTCAGGGAAACTGGTTAGCCAGACTTGGGTCCTGGAAATGGGAAGTACAATGCCTGCACTTTAAAGGAGGGGTTTGGGATATTGGCAGTTTGGAAGGACATTTAAACTTCCATAACTGAGTGCCTCTGCAAAGATATTGATTTTGTATGAGTGTTGGTGAAAGTGTTGAATGAGAATGATGAAAGTTTTTTGTTGCTGTTTTGAATTTTTCTCTATGGGTCACCCTGCCTTGGTGGAAAACTGCTGACATGTTAAAAAAACAAAATTCTCACTATTACATAATTTTGGGAGAATTTTGTTCATAAGTACAGATTTGTCATTATTTTGGCATTCATTGGTTCCCTGTATTTTCACATTTGTGCTTAGTAAAGGTAGTGTACTTATAATCATGTCACATATTATTTGATTATACCCAGTAAAGTCTAGGTAGTAGGTTGGTAGACAGCAACCGCCCAGGGAGGTACTACCGTCCTGCCAAGTGAGCGTAAAACGGAAACCTGTAATTGTTTTACATGATAGTAGGATTGCTGGTGTCTTTTTTCTGCCTCATAAACATGCAAGATTTCAGGTACGTCTTGCTGCTTCTACTTACACTTAGGTCACACTACACATACATTTACAAGCATGTATATACACACCCCTCTGGGTTTTCTTCTATTTTCTTTCTAGTTCTTGTTCTTGTTTATTTCCTCTTATCTCCATGGGTGAGTGGAACAGAATTTTTCCTCTGTGGGCATGCTTGTCGTAAGCAGTGACTAAAATGCTCAGAGCAAGAGTCTAGTAATATATACAGGAGAAGGGATTACTAAAGTTAAAAAGAGAAACTTTCATTTTTCTTTTTGGGCCACATGCTTTGGTGGGATATGGCTGGTTTGTTGAAAGAAGTAGAAGACCTGGTAAAGATAATTTGCTTCAAATCATAATGCAGTGGACCCTCGGTTATCAGCCCTGATCCATTTCAGAAGGCCGGCCTAAAACTGAAATGGCCGATAACCAAAATAATTATTCCCATAAGAATTAATGTAAATACAATTAATCCGTTCCAGACACCCAAAAATATTCACAAAAAATACATTTTTTAGAGATTAATTATAGTTTTTTTTTTATTAACACACTGGCCGATTCCCACCAAGGCAGGGTGGCCCGAAAAAGAAAAACTTTCACCATCATTCACTCCATCACTGTCTTGCCAGAAGGGTGCTTTACACTACAGTTTTTAAACTGCAACATTAACACCCCTCCTTCAGAGTGCAGGCACTGTATAGTTTTACATACACAAAACAGTGAGAACTAAATAAAATAAATACATAAACAATTAAATCAGTACATATTACATACCTTTACTGAAGACTGCTGTTGGCTTATGGAAGATAGGGAGGAGGAGAGAGGGAGGAGAGTTTATTGTTTGGAACGGGAATCCCCCTCCTTAACGGCTTCAGGGTTACTTCCCTTCTTTGTCTTTTAATGCCACTAGGACCAGCTTGAGAGTCACTGGATCCCTGTTGCACAAAATACAGTGGACCCCCGCATAACGATTACCTCCGAATGCGACCAATTATGTAAGTGTATTCATGTAAGTGCGTTTGTACGTGTATGTTTGGGGGTCTGAAATGGACTAATCTACTTCACAATATTTCTTATGGGAACAAATTCGATCAGTACTGGCACCTGAACATACTTCTGGAGTGAAAAAATATCGTTAACCGGGGGTCCACTGTATGTCTAGAGAACTCTGTTTCTGACATGTTTCTAAGATTTCCCTGAAGTGGGACAAGGTTCTATCACTGAGCCTGTTGCAGATGCAGCTTATTTCAGCTTGGTCAGGGCGATATTTCTCAGCAAAAGCTTGTACCCTAGTCCACATTGCACAAATCTCCTTAGTCTCTGAAGAAGGCACTTCCTTCACTCCCTCTTCCTCCTCCTCTGAAGCAAGTTCCTGAGCTGTGGCCTGTAGTTGTTCCAGATGAAGCTTTTGCAGCTCTTCATTGGTTAGCTCTTCCCTGTGGTCCTCCACCAGCTCTTCCACATCCTCACTGCTTACCTCCAACCCCAGGAACTTGCCCAGAGATACAGTGGCTTCCACAACAGGCATAGGGTCCTCAGGGTCAGCCCCAAACCCTTCAGAATCCCTCTCCTGGGCACATTTTGGCCACAATTTTCTCCAAGCAGAGTTCAAAGTCCTGGAGGATATTCAAGTGATTCTTCCAGAACTCTCTTAGGGTCAAATCTGTGTCCCAGGTCACTTCAAAGCACCTTTGAAACATTGCTTTGGTGTACAGTTTTTTGAAGTTAGAAATGACCTGCTTGTCCATAGGCTGGATCAGAGGAGTGGTGTTAAGAGACAAGAACTTCACTGTGATGAAACAGAATTCCACAGACAATAGGTCTACCAAGTTTGGAGGATGAGCAGGAGCATTGTCCAGTACCAGGAAGCACTTGAGTGGCAATTTATGTTCCAGGAGGTATTTTTTCACACTCGAGCCCAACACATCATTCACCCATTCTTTGAAAATTTGGCTTGTGACCCATGCATTATTGTTAGCCCTCCACATCTCACACATCTTGAAAACATTGTGTTTCATGAGCATTCTGGGATTTTCAGTGATACACCAGTAAAGCCTTCACTTTGAAATCCCCAGTAGCATTAGCACAAAACAAGAGAATAAGTCTGTCTTTCATAGCTTGTGTCCAGGCAGGGCCTTTTCCTCCTGTGTAATGTAGGTCCTCTTTGGCATTTTCTTCCAAAACAGGCCTGTTTTGTCACAATTGAACACTTGTTGGCAGAGGAATCCTTTAGCCTCTACGTACCCCATGAAATCTTTCACAGATTTTTCAGAACTTGCAGCCTCTCCATGCCTTACCACACTGTGTATGCCACTACGCTTCTTAAATCTCTCAAACCAGCCTTTGCTGGCCCTAAATTCACTAACAACAGCACTTGTTCCCGGCATTTTATTTACAAGATCCACATTCAACTGCTTTGCCTTCTCACAAATCACTGACTCCACAACACTATCTCCCCTGATTGTTTTTCCCTGATCCACAACAATAATAACTTTTCCATATCTTCCATTATTGGTGACCTGTTTCATTTCGTTATCACACTTACTCCTTTCGCAACAACAGCTTCCTTGATTTGTTCTTTCTTTGCCAGGATGAAGTGATGGTAGATTTATTTTTCCCATACATCCTGGCAAGTTCCAACACTCGCATACCACTCTCAAATTTTTCAATCACTTCTCTCTTAAATTCCATAGTGTTTCTCACTTTCTTTACCACAGAAACTTTACTAGGAACTTTCTTTGGGGCCATGCTTACTTATTTCACACTTGCACTTAATAAATAACAGAGAAAAACACTGATTTATAGCAAAATGTTTGGATGAATGAGCAGAAGCATCCTCACTCAGCCAGCTACCTGATTCAGGAATGCACGAGTGTCACCGGCCGATAAGTGAAATAATGGCCGAAACCAGAAGCCGAAAAGCAGCGCCGATAACCAAGAGTTCACTTGATATAATGTATTGTAATTATCTCTAGTAAAAATAGTGTGCTTTAAATTATATATTTGAGGGCAATGTATGGTGTGATTATGCAGAGAATTCAGAGATTGGTGACTATGAGATGCAGGGTTACCAAAAGTATTATTCAGATGGCGAGTCTAGGGTTGAGGGGTAGGGGTCATCTTAAGAAAGGTTTTTGGGAGAGGGTAAAGGAGGTTTGGAGTGCTAGGATCTTGGACATCCAACAGGCTTGCATGAGTGTGTTATATAGGAATCATCAGAGGCATGTGATTTGATGAGCTGTTGAAGTGTGAGCAAGGTAACAGTTATGAAGGGATTCAGGGAAACCAGTTAATCAGACTTGAGTCCTTGAGGTGGAAAGTACAGTGCCAACACTGTAAAGGAGGGGTAGGCATGTTGCAGTTTGGAGGGGCATCTGAACTGTGATGTCAGCTCCCTTCAGGCAAAACAGTGATTGAATGGGTGAAAGTGTTTTCTTAATTGATGGGTTACCTTAGCTTGGTGGGAAATGGCCAGTGTTAAATAATTATTCCTAGTAAAAATAATGCATTTAAAATTACAGTGTGAATCATTGATGAGACGTTTGGTTGTGAGTGAGGAGAATCGAGCCAGCTGTGACCAGGAGGTTGATAATCAGAGAGAGATTGTCAATCAGCTCAAAGAAACACTGCAGACTACCTCCAGGTATGCATACCTATGATAGTTTTCAAGATTTTTTTTTTGTTTTTTTTTCACCTTTCACCTTTGTGGCCCAGTCTGGGGCCAGGTTTGCCTGTTCAACCAGGATTTTTTGCAGCTTTTCATAGTGTTTATTTGAATATAGTTGAAATCCCTTAACAAGTTTTACTTTTCTCTTAGAGTCAAATCCTTAAGATGAATCCAGAGCACTGCATTTTAGATGCATAAGTTATGCAGGGATTGGTAAATACAATATCAGTGTTTTTGTACATTTTACTGTACATTATTGAAACTGTACAAGCATGCTAAGAGATTGTGGTGGTGCAAAAAATGGATATATTATGTACATATTCCCTATGAAGAGAGTGGTGAGAGAGTGCAAAAGGAGAACAGATGATAGAGTGGGAGAGGCACTGCCAAGAAATTTTAATGAAAATAAGAAAAAATTTTGGAGCGAGTTAAACAAGTTAAGAAAGCCTAGAGAACGAATGGATTTGTCAGTTAAAAACAGAGTAGAGGAGTTAGTAGATGGGTAGATGGCGAGAATATTTTGAGGAACTTTTAAATGTCGACGAAGAAAGGGAAGTGGTGATTTCATGCATTGGCCAGGGAGGTATACCATCTTTTAGGAATGAAGAAGAACAGGATGTGAGTGTGCGGGAGGTGCGTGAGGCATTATGTAGAATGAAAGGCGGTAAAGCAGCTGGAACTGACGGAATCATGACAGAAATGTTAAAAGCAGGGGAGGATATAGTGTTGGAGTGGTTGGTATTTTTGTTTAATAAATGTATGAAAGAGGGGAAGGTACCTAAGGATTGGCGGAGAGCATGTATAGTCCCTTTATATAAAGGAAAGGGGGACAAAAGAGATTGTAAAAACTATAGAGGAATAAGTTTATTGAGTATACCAGGAAAAGTGTATGGTAGGGTTATAATTGAAAGAATTAGAGGTAAGACAGAATGTAGGATTGCGGATGAGCAAGGTGGTTTCAGAGTTGGTAGGGGATGTGTAGATCAAGTGTTTACATTGAAGCATATATGTGAACAGTATTTAGATAAAGGTAGGGAAGTTTTTATTGCATTTATGGATTTAGAAAAGGCATATGATAGAGTGGATAGGGGAGCAATGTGGCAGATGTTGCAAATATAAGGAATAGGTGGTAAGTTACCAAATGCTGTAAAGAGTTTTTATGAGGATAGTGAGGCTCAGGTTAAGGTGTGTAGAAGAGAGGGAGACTACTTCCCAGTAAAAGTAGGTCTTAGACAGGGATGTGTAATGTCACCATGGTTAATATATTTATAGATGGGGTTGTAAAAGAAGTAAATGCTAGGGTGTTCAGGAGAGGTGTGGGATTAAATTATGGGGAAATAAATACAAAATGGGAATTGACACAGTTGCTTTTTGCTGATGATACTGTGCTTATGGGAGATTCTAAAGAAAAATTGCAAAGGTTAGTGGATGAGTTTGGGAGTGTGTGTAAAGGTAGAAAGTTGAAAGTGAACATAGAAAAGAGTAAGGTGATGAGGGTATCAAATGATTTAGATAAAGAAAAATTGGATATCAAATTGGGGAGGAGGAGTATGGAAGAAGTGAATATTTTCAGATACTTGGGAGTTGACGTGTTGGCGGATGGATTTATGAAGGATGAGGTTAATCATAGAATTGATGAAAGAAAAAAGGTGAGTGGTGCGTTGAGGTATATGTGGAGACAAAAAATGTTATCTATGGAGGCAAAGAAGGGAATGTATGAAAGTATAGTAGTACCAACACTCTTATATGGGTGTGGAGCCAGGGTTGTGAATGCAGCAGCGAGGAGGTGGTTGGAGGCAGTGGAGATGTCCTGTCTAAGGGCAATGTGTGGTGTAAATATTATGCAGAAAATTCGGAGTGTGGAAATTAGGAGGTGTGGAGTTAATAAAGGTATTAGTCAAAGGGCTGAAGAGGGGTTGTTGAGGTGGTTTGGTCATTTAGAGATAATGGATCAAAGTAGAATGACATGGAGAGCGTATAAATCTGTAGGGAAAGGAAGGCGGGGTAGGGGTCGTCCTCGAAAAGGTTGGACGGAAGGGGTAAGGGCAGTTTTGTGGGCGAGGGGCTTGGACTTCCAGTAGGCGTGCATGAGCGTGTTCGATAGGAGTGAATGGAGATGAATGGTATTTGGGACCTGACGATCTGTTGGAGTGTGAGCAGGGTAATATTTAGTGAAGGGATTCAGGGAAACCGGTTATTTTTATATAGCCGGACTTGAGTCCTGGAAGTGAGAAGTACAGTGCCTGCTCTCTAAAGGAGGGGTTCGGGATATTAGCAGCTTGGAGGGATATGTCGTGTATCTTTATACGTATATGCTTCTAAGCTGTTGTGTTCTGAGCACCTCTGCAAAAACAGTGATTATGTGTGAGTGAGGTGAAAGTGTTGAATGATGATGAAAGTATTTTCTTTTTGGGGATTTTCTTTCTTTTAGGGTCACCCTGCCTCGGTGGGAGACGGCCGACTTGTTAAAAAAAAATTCCCTATCCTTTAAAAAGTTTAATTTCATAATGAATTAGCAATTTCTACAAATTCTCCTATCCCATACTATATTTAAATAAAAGAAAGGAATATGTATCAAAGCAACTGGAAAAGGAACAAACCTTTTGAGTGTCAACAATGTTTGCTAATAATTAGTGATTTATAGATAACTGAAAATGCCATTTCCCTGCCTTTTAAGGTTGAATTCTTTTATGAATTAGCAATTTCTACTTCATCATCTATCTCATTCTATTTCAATAAATGACCTGTATGTGAACAGTTGGAAGAAAAAATACAGTGCCCATTAACAGCTTAACCCAGGTTTCACTACAGCATCATACTTCACACACTGCATCACTGTCTCTTACTGCACATGACAGTAATTACCTACATATTCCTGTGATATCTGTGATGAAATATATACTACAGTTACAATACTTCTACTATAGCTCTGTTGATGAGATAAGAAATATCAGCAAAAATGGATGAGAATGCATGGAAAAATGCCATAGAACAATAAGGAAACTAATATCCATGTTTCTTCCAAAAACATGGTATACAGTATAATCTTTTTAAGAGATCAACATTAAGCTTTAAGTGAATCAAAAGCTGACTTATTAAGTCAGCTTAGAAATGTTCAAGCTAAGCAAATGCAACACAAAATTACTGCATGAGCAGTAATTCAATTTTTCCAGTCTTCAAGAAACAAACTAGTACCTACACAAGCCAAATATCCTTCAAAACTTGTTTCCAGGCAAGAATGACCATAAAGAATAAAAAAGCATGACTGAAGCAATACGCAAATAACTCTCACATAGGAGAAAGAAACTTACGGCAATGTTTCGGTCCAACTTGGACCATTAATTAGTCACAAGCTCCCAGCAAGAGGAAACATGTAAGTAATATGATTACATCCATATTTAACTTTGAGAATTACTATGTACTTTAGTGTGTGTGTGATATGGATGAATGTATGTTTGTAGAAGTGAGGATGGAAGTCACTGCTCAAGTTTAGCATGCCAGAATGGTGGTGCAGGAGCAATGCAGCCTGCCCGGGGTAATGGTGTAAGAGCAATACTACCTGCCTGGGTGTTCGTAGAAGAGCAGTGCACCCAGCCTGGGTAGTGGTGGAGTGATGCACCCTGCCAGGGTGGTGGTAAAGAAGCAGTGTACCCAGTGTACTTCATACAAATGGCCTGGAACTGTTATAAATGATTTAAAACAGCAACTGCATATTGCAGTTATGGCAATACAGATAAAAGTGGAACATCGATAATAGAGAATTCACTTACAGTGAACTCTTATAAAATAAGGGAAACCTGTATATACATATTTGGAATTAAGCAATAAACAGTTTATAAGACATTGTAATTGATTAGGAGATATTTATTATTTAAGCAAACTATTCTTGTTATCATTACAGCTGTACAATAATACCAGAGGATTTTTGCTGCTGCAATACAGCCATGCTCTCCAGCTCCCTGTCATTTTACACATAATAGTTGTGTAAAAAAATGTTTTACAGTATTCATGAATATAGAATAGGTTCATGTACAACAAACTCTAATTTCCTTATGAGAAAAGAAAAACTGTATCGTTAGGTTACATTGTCTTTAAACAGTTCACTTCTCTACTGTCATTTTTATTTAAAATCACCCCATGTAATACAACCCCATCACAGTTGTTGGAAATTCACTTCTCTCTCACATATTACTGTGTAATTGTAAGTTGTGTTTAAACTGCAAAATTATTGTATATTCGTGATGAATAAAATGACACAATACCGTGACTGGAACAATTCACTTGTGATAATGTTTTGGTCCAGCTTGAACCATAAACTGTCACACAGTTAATGGTCTAAGTCAGATCAGAATGTCACAAGTTTTGTTCTTGTATGTGTGGGTTATTTGTGTATTCCTATGTGCAGGTTATCTGTGTATTTTTCAACATACATGCCATGTAAACATTACTGCAATAACTTGCTCTTCTAGTTAACTCATTATTTTGTTTTAACATTAAGTGCCCTCAGCAGTGACTGAGTATCCTTTCTCACTAGTCTCATGACTAAGGAGGTGAGAGGTAAACGTGATACTGGCGAAGGCCTCTTGATCCAAGGCATTGAAGCTACTCCCCCTTCAGTCAAACCTAATTTTCTTTCATTTCCAGGTGCTGTGTTACCCTTCCATATTTAGTATTTCCACATAAATGTAATAATAGTAGTAGTAATAATAACTACTGTAATTATATTCTTTTTGTTCTCATGTTCTGTTTATTTCAGAAATTATGAGGAACAAATATCAACAATGTCTGAACATTTGGCTGATCTCAATGAGAAAATAACAGCACAGTCAGAGTTGATTGAACATCTAAAATATGAAAACAAGGTAAGTTCATTTCATACTCAAGTCTCTAATTAGCAGACAGATTACTTTACTGAGGGTTTAACTTACAAAAGAGTTTCATTCTTGGTGTTTAACTTGGTGTTTAACTCTAGAAACAACCTTATATACATGTGACATGAGTTTGTCATAGAAAACAACTCATATCACACATATAGCTTAAATAAGCTATATAAGTGGAACTCAAACATATTGTAATTGTCTGTAACCGGAGGTTTTGTAAGTTGAAGATTTCTTATGCTTAGCCAAATTCTTTATTTATCCCCTTGACTGTCGCAACCCCCAATCCTGAGGTGTCTCCTGCTGTCGCAAAATTTAAAAAAAAAAAAATTATTTTTTCTTTTGAAATGATAGAGAATATTTTCCCAATTGTAATGACACCAAAAAAATGAAATTTGATGGAAAACTGACGGAATTACGCTCTCGCGAAGTTTGCGACCTCGGTGATATATACAAATCAGTGATTTCGCCCACTTTGAGCCCTATTTTCGGCTAATTCCATTGTTCCAGTCGACCAAACTCATAGCTATTTCTTTAGAACTCCATTTTTTCTATCGAATGAGTACAAGAAACTGCCCATTTACCGATTTCAACTACCCAATAACGTGGTCAGAAATTTGCAATTTGGCCAATTTCTCGAAAATTAAAAAATATGACAATTTCAAAATAAGGTCCAGAATGAAAATGCAGACATTCCTGGCTCTAAAATAACATTTTCTTTGTTCATCAGTCATGTCTCCAGGCCCCTCTGATATTACTCTTGCTTTCTATTTTGAATTTTTATTCAAACAATAAATAGAAGATTTACTGTTATGCAGACTACTGCAATACTGTAATAGTTGGACATTTATTGGACAATGACATCATTTGTTTACTTTTGAACATCGACAAAAAATCAAACATTTCCCCTACTTTGAGCTCCATTTCCAGGTTCTTTTTATAGTAAAACCAGAGGTTGGTGGATGAATTTGGTAGGGTATGCAAAAGAAGAAAATTAGAAGTGAATACAGGAAAGAGTAAGGTTATGAGGATAAAAAGATTAGGTGATGAAAGATTGGATATCAGATTGGAGGGAAAGAGTATGGAGGAGGTGAATGTATTCAGATATTTGGGAGTGGACGTGTCAGCGGATGGGTCTATGAAAGATGAGGTGAATCATAGAATTGATGAGGGGAAAACGGTGCACTTAGGAGTCTGTGGAGACGAAGAACTTTGTCCTTGGAGGCAAAGAGGGGAATGTATGAGAGTATACTTTTACCAACGCTCTTGCATGGGTGATGAATGTTGCAGCGAGGAGAAGGCTGGAGGCAGTGGAGATGTCATGTCTGAGGGCAATGTGGAAGTTAGGAGGAGGTGGGGGATTACCAAAACTGTTGTTGAGGTGGTTTGGACATGTAGAGAGAATGAAGCGAAACAGAATGACTTCAAGAGTATATCAGTCTGTAGTGGAAGGAAGGCGGGGTAGGGGTTGGCCTAGGAAAGGTTGGAGGGAGGGGGTAAAGGAGGTTTTGTGTGCAAGGGGCTTGGACTTCCAGCGGGCATGCATGAGCGTGTTTGATAGGAGTGAATGGAGACAAATGGTTTTTAATACTTGACGTGCTGTTGGAGTGTGAGCAAAGTAACATTTATGAAGGGATTCAGGGAAACCGGCAGGCCGGACTTGAGTCCTGGAGATGGGAAGTACAGTGCCTGCACTCTGAAGGAGGGGTGTTAATGTTGCAGTTTAAAAACTGTAGTGTAAAGCACCCTTCTGGCAAGACAGTGATGGAGTGAATGATGGTGAAAGTTTTTCTTTTTCAGGCCACCCTGCCTTGGTGGGAATCGGCCAGTGTGTTAAAAAAAAAAAAAATATCTAGAAGTATAAATAATAGAAGTCCTCAGGTTTTTCTTCAACTCTATATATCCTTGGTTAGGCCTCATTTACACTATGCTGCTCAGTTCTGGTCACCGTATTACAGAATGGATATAAATGCTCTGAAAAAATTACAGAGGAGAATGACAAAGATGATCCCATGTATCAGAAATCTTCCCTATGAGGATAGACTGAGGGCCCTGAATCTGCACTCTCTAGAAAGGCGTAGAATTAGGGGGGATTTGATCGAGGTGTATAAATGGAAAACAGGAATAAATAAAGGGGATGTAAATAGCATGCTGAAAATTTCCAGCCAAGACAAGACTCGCAGCAATGGTTTCAAGTTGGAAAAATTCAGATTCAGGAAGGATATAGGAAAGCAATGGTTTGGTAATTGAGTTGCGGATGAGTGGAACAAACTCCCGAGTACAGTTATTCAGGCTAAAACGTTGCGTAGTTTTAAAAATAGGTTAGATAAATACATGAGTGGGTGTGAGTTGGACCTGACTAGCTTGTGCTGCTGGGTATGGTGCAGTGCTCCATCCTTGAGTGGAGGTGACCAGACTGGATGGGTCATTGGGCTAATCCAGGAGGAAGGGGGGACATGGACCTGCTGTGCATGGGTCAGTAGGCCTGTTGCAGTGTTCCTTCTTTCTTATGTTCTTAAATTATCACATTATAGCTGTAAATTATGCACTAATTGAGTGAAGGGGAAAAGGAGTTTTGAGTGCTAGGGGTTTGGATGCCCAGTAAGCTTGTGTGAGCATTTTAAATAGGAGCAATTAGAAGTAATATTTTATGATTTGATATGCTGTTGGAATGTCAACAAGTAACATTTATGAAGGGATTCAGGGAAACTGGTTTTGCCAGACTTGAGTTCTGTTTAAAATATATATTAAAAAAATTGCTAAACTAGGTGATTTTTTTATCAAATATTTCTCTTCTTTGCAGAACAGAAAAGGAAAGAAGTGAAGGAAAAGAATAGAAATCTGCAGTATAATTTTCTTCAAAATTTTAAGGTAATCAATGTACTTAGTTGACATGCCAATGTTTGAAATTTATTATTGTCCCTGGACATATCCCACACTGATAAGCTGTTGCACCAGTTTGAGTCTTCCCTTCTTTCTGCTGCCAATGTTGCCATCTCATGGGATTTAAGTTAGGCATTTTCACAAGTGCACACCCTGGTGGTTGGCTGATTTCACTTGGGCTATTCATCTCAAACATCTCTTATGGGGTCATAGTACAGTTACGTATACTATCGCCCCCTTGTGTTTTCTAACAGGTGAATTCCCATAACTGCTCTTTCATACAGACTGCCAAGCCTGATTGTTGGAGTGGTTATGTCTCTTAAGACTGAATGTCTTCATGTCTGTCAGAACAGTGTGCAAATGGGGCCACCAGCCCCAATACTTCTACTGTACTGAATACAGTGTTGTACAGTTGCTCTCTTCTCTTTAATTAATATGTATGTATTAACTAAACATTGTTTAATACCCTTAGTGAAAATAACCAGTACTGAATGTAGAATAAAAGTACGGGTATATAATCAAAAAATAAAATTGTGTTAGTAAGATACGGATTATTATTGGTCAGGAACTCATTTTTTATTATAACGTATGTGAGAAAATAGGTTCCTAGTTCAGACCTTTCTACATGGAAATAATTTTCAGGTATGTATTAATATCATATGGGGAATACCTACTGTACTTGCAGCTGAAGAAGAGCAGTGTTTAATGTAAAATGACTAGTAAATATTTATAGGAAAAAATTAAATTGCATACAGAATATTATGGTTCAGGACTGCATCTCTGATTATAATATGGTTGTTGGTGGAGGGGGAAAAAAAATGGTTCCAACCCTCAAATTACAACAAAACATTCAGGAACATATTTATATCATTAACCCCTTGACTGTCGCAACCCCCAATCCTGAGGTGTCTCCTGGTGTCAAAAAAAAAAAAAAAAAAATGATTTTTCTTATGAAATGATAGAGAATCTTTTCCCGATTGTAATGACACTAAAAAACAACATTTGATGGAAAACTGATGGAATTATGCTCTCGCGAAGTTAGCGACCCCGGCGATATTGACAAATCGGCGATTTCGCCCACTTTGAGCCCTATTTTCGGCTAATTCCTTTGTGCCAGTCGACCAAAGTCATAGCTATTTCTTTAGAACTCCATTTTTTCTATCGATTGAGTACAAGAAACTGCCCATTTACCGATTTCAACTACCCAATAATGTGGTCAGAAATTTGCAATTTGGCCAATTTCACGAAAATTAAAAAATATAACAATGTCAAAATAAGGTCCAGAATGAACAATGCAGACATTCCTGGCTCTAAAATAACATTTTCTTTGTTCATCAGTCATGTCTCCAGGCCCCTCTGATATTACTCTTGCTTTCTATTTTGAATTTTTATTCAAACAAAAAATAGAAGACTTACTATTTGCAGACTACTGCAATACTGTAATAATTGTATAAATAACATCAACCCATTCATGACTGCATATTAGAATGGCTAGTTGGACATTTATTGGACAATGACATCATTTGTGTACTTTTGAACATCGGTAAAAATCAAACATTTCCCCTACTTTGAGCTCCATTTCCAGGTTCTTTTTATAGTAAAATCAAAGTCACATCTATTTCTATAATATGTTTCCCATTCTATCAAATGAGACCAAGAAAACGAGAATACAACCATAAATACTATATGAAAATTGACCACAAAGTCGGCATTTTAATTAAAAAAAAACGTCGGAGTTTTTTTTTTTCTCATTATGCACTGCGTGCTCCAGGATTTTTTTTTATATGGTGCACACTGACCACACAGACCCATTCTCTCACATGTGGGCCTACCAGCTTTCTCCTGCTTGATTTGAAGCCGCTAGAATTTATGAGTATATATACGTCAAAAACGGTACCTCGTAAGACGTATATATACGGCCGTGACAGTCAAAGGGTTAATGTTGGACCTACTGTAGTAATAGTGTAATAATATTGTCTTGACTTAATCCACAGCAGTATTTTTGAATATACAGTTCCAGTGCTTCATTTTGAGTAGCTTTAATTATTATAATTGAAAAGAGAAGGTGATTATTCTTTTGGGTGGCCTTATATTGTGATTAGTTTTAGATGTTTTGTTGATGTAGATCTCTGTATATATACACTTCTAATGAGGTATCAGTAGATTAGTTTGTACTGTAGTAGTGTGAAGACAACAAGTAACCATCTCAGACCACTAATTACCCAACAAAAGGCTGCAGTTAGAATGATAACAAATTCTCACTACAGGCAGCACACTCCACCAATATTCAATACACTCAACCTACTCACCATACAAAACATCCATACTTATTACTGCACCTATTACATACATAGAACACTCAACTCTGATATTAACCCTCCCCTCAAACATCTCCTTGCCAACCTCAACAGAACACATGACCATAACACAAGGCACAGATCACTCTTTGATATTCCTCGTGTCCATCTCACGCTATGCAAAAACTCGATGCACATAAAAGGCCCTAAAATCTGGAATTCATTACCTGTAAATATAAAAGAAACACTACCTGTTTATAAATTCAAGTCTCTTCTCAAAGATCACTTACTCACCCAAAACCAAATAAATACTGAATAACTGAACCTTATAAATTGTATATCTTAAATGTTTCTCACAATTATATCACATAAATGTTAAACCTAAAACCCAATCTAACTTTATTATTTTTTAAATACACTACCTAACAGAATACTCCATTCTACTGAATTTACAATAATGCATGCAACCATCTGACCTGTCTTTGTAATACTCACTTGTGCTTTATAGTAATCTGTTTACATTAATGTTTTTCACTGATTTCATCATTGCTTAGTTAATCTTAAGTTAATTTTAAGCCAGCCCGTAATGCTATGCATAGTATAAGTGGCTTTGGCATGCTGCTCTTATCTGTATTTTTTTGTACCTCTGTATGTGTGCTCAAATTATAAATAAATAAATAAATAAATAAATAAATGTTGGTTGAGGAACAGAATCCATTGCAGGGGTGCATATTTCACAAACATAAAATTTTTTTAATTAAATCAACAAGATAAAGCTAAATATTACTGCTGCCTTGTCACCCCACAAGGAAAAGTTCTGTTGACAGCATACTTAGGTGCAAATAATGGAACTGAGATTTAGTATAGTCACATCAAACTAAATTCATATATGTTGCATCTCTGTACAAAATGAATTGGATTAAATATGTACTAAAGCCTACTAATTACCTAAGACCAGTGAAGTATATGGAATTATTGAGTAGTAAAAACAATATTTCAATGAATGTAAAGTAATACTGTATTATCTATTTGCATGCAGAAACAGAATGGAGAAGCAGGATGACTACAGCACTCCATGGACTGTTGACTCACAGAATGATGAAGATTTGTATTTGAGAGCATCCTAGAGGGGGTGCCAAGGAACTGGTTGTCCTAATTGCCTTTAATGGAAAAAGATGAGAATGCAAAGTCAAAAGGAGGAAGCAATCATGGAATTCTTACCATGTGAACTTTGAAGATGATCAGAGAGAGGATTGCCTCAAATGCTGAATCAGTAAGGCTCTCCAAACATTTGCATCTTCAGTAAATGGAAGGCACTATATATCCCCCCTTATGGTTTAGTATTTCTCCATGATTATATTAATTGAATGAATGGAAAACATTGGACCATTAAGGCTCCTCTAAGATCTGTGCCTGGAAAATTATACTTAAGATATCGTATTTATACATGGTTTAACGTCTGCTAAGTTGCAGAATCCTTGTGAAGTTGAAAAAGTTATTAGTTATTTCTATTTGGTATCATTCTAGGGATCAGTTTTGTTGCTACTGGTACAGCGACTCCATAATGAGAACAGTAACAATGATGATAGTGATAAGGTGACAAGGAGTGTTGACCACAATGACTGAGCAAGATACAGTGTAAGTTACGAGGTGACGCCATGAATTGACCTAAGTCACTGAATAAGTTACCAATACACACAAGTGATTCTTTTCATAATTCTTTTGCATACTTGTGACTTATGTGATAGTGTTGTCACAGTTGAATCTTGTAGGAAATAAATTCAAGAATATACTTTATACATTTATTATATAATGGTTTATAACAATTTAAATAATTGTAGACAATGGTTGACAGAATTTAGCAGACCTTTTCATTGTTTGCTGAAAGGTGTTAACAGTGGTCTTACCCTTAGCATTATATACTGAGAACTTTTACTTATGGATATAATTTCTAAAATATCTTGGTGCTTCTGTCTATAATAATAAAGTATATTGTTATATGTTTGTTTAAATTAATGATATTATATATATATATTTTTTTACCACATCGGTCGTCTCCCACCGAGGCAGGGTGACCCAAAAAGAAAATATTCATTATCACTCAACACCTTCACCTCACTCATACATAATCAGTGTCTTTGCAGAGGTGCTCAGATACAAAAGTTCAGAAGTCCTTCCAAACTGCTAATATCCCAAACCCCTTCTTTAAAGTGCAGGCAATGTATTTTCCATTTCACACCAAGGCAGGGTGGCCCGAAAAAGAAACACTTTCATCATTCACTCTATCTCTGTTTTATCAGATGCGTGCTTACGCTAGTTATAAAACTGTAACATTAACACCCCTCATTCAGAGTGCAGGTACTGTATTTCCTACCTCCGGTTGAAGAAAACTTTTATTTGCTGTAATTCATAATAGTCTAACCCTTTCAGGGTCTAGAGCCCCGATCTGAAACTTGTCCACAGGGTCCTAGAATTTAAAAAAAAAAAAAAAAAAACTTGTTTGTTTTATGAAATGGTAGAGAATCTTTTTCTAAATGTAATAAAACAAAATGTACAAAATTTGGCTCCCATTTTAGGTCAATTACAGTATTCCAGTTGACCAAATTCTTTGCTATTTCTCTAGTATTACTTCTTTTTTATATATTAAGCGCAAGAAATCGCCCAGTCAACTCTTTCAACTACCCTATAAAGTTGTCAGAAATTGGTAATTTGGCCAATTTCACACAAAGTTCAAAATATTCCAATTTAACCCTTTGACTGTTTCGGCCGTATATGTACGTCTTACGAGCCAGTGTTTCAGATGTATATATACTCAATAATTCTAGCGGCTTCAAATCAAGCAGGAGAAAACTGGTAGGCCCACATGTGAGAGAATGGGTCTGTGTGGTCAGTGTACACCATATGAAAAAAATCCTGCAGCACGCATTGCATAATGAGAAAAAAAACTCCGATCGTTTTTTTTAACTAAAATGCCGACTTTGTGGTCTATTTTCGTATAGTATTTATGGTTGTATTCTCATTTTCTTGGTCTCATTTGATAGAATGGAAAACATGTTGTAGAAATAGAGGTGATTTTAATTGGTTTTACTATGAAAAGAACCTTGAAATGGAGCTCAAAGTAGGGGAAATGTTTGATTTTTGCCGATGTTCAAAACTAAACAAATCATGTCATTTTCCAATAAATGTCCAAGTAGCCATTCTAATATGCAGTCATGAATGGGTTGACATTATTTATACAATTATTACAATATTGCAGTAGTCTACATAACAGTAAATCTTCTATTTTTTGTCTGAATAATAATTCAGAATAGAAAGCAAGAGTAATATCAGAGGGGCCTGGAGATGTAACTGATGAACAAAGAAAATGTTATTTTAGAGCCAGGAATGTCTGCATTGTTCATTCTGGACCCTATTTTGAAATTGTCGTATTTTTTAATTTTTGTGAAATTGGCCAAATTGCAAATTTCTGACCACGTTATTGGGTAGTTGAAATCGGTAAATGGGCAGTTTCCTGTACTCAGTCGATAGAACAAATGGAGTTCTAAAGAAATAGCCATTAGTTTGGTCGACTGGGACAATGGAATTAGCCGAAAATAAGGCTCAATGTGGACAAAAATCGCCGATTTGTAAATATCGCCAAGGTCGCTAACTTTACGAGAACATAATTCCATGAGTTTTCCATCAAATTTCGTTCTTTTGGTGTCGTTACAATCGGGAAAAGATTGTCTTTCATTTCATAAGAAAAAATAATATTTTTTTTTAAATTTTGCGACACCAGGAGACACCTCAGGATTTGGGGTTAGCGACAGTCAAGGGGTTAAAATAGGGTCCAGAATAAACAATGCAGGCATTCCTGGCACTAAAATAACATTTCCTCTGTTTATTAGTTATGTTTCCAGGCTTGAAAAATGAATTCCATTTTTATTTTTAATTCACATAATGAATATTTATTCACACCAAAAATTGAAGATTTACTGTTGTGCAATACAGCCTCTCCTCACTTGACGACGGAGTTCTGTTCCTAAGACCACGTCGGTAAATGAATTCGTCACTAAGTGAGGAGCATACTATATTGGTAGTGGATTTGTGTCAATCTTTGATATAGTTTTAATGTCATTTTTGCACCATTTATAACATTTCTGGGGTATTTTTAAATGTTTATACAGTAGTGTACTGTATATTGTATTAAACAAAATAGAGAAAATCAGCTCTAATATACATTATTTAGGTATGTATATTGGTCAGAGAGCCCGTCATAAGTTCGAGTTGTCAGTAAATGAGTATGTCACTAAGTGAGGAGAGGCTGTATTGTAATAATTGTATAAATACTATCAGTGCATTTGTGAACGCGCATTAAACCCACTAGCTGACATGTATTAGACGCATGACGTCATTTGTTTACTCTTGAACATCGGCAAAAATAGAATATTTATGCTACTTTGAGCTCAGTTTCAAGCTATTTTCAGTACTAAAACCAATCAAAATTATCTCTATTTCTGTAATATATCATCCATTCTATCAAACAAAACCAAGAAACCATGAATACAACTATAAAAAACATGTGAAAATACACTGCAAAGTCACTATTTTAATCCAAAAACATGGTCGCAGTTTTTTTATTTTCTCATTATGCACAGCATACTGCAGGATTTGTTTTATATGGTGCACACTTACCACATAGATGCATTCTCTCATATCTAGGCTCAACTTTACTGCTCGTGACTTAGTATTACAGCTTGGACCCTGGCTTCAAAGTCGTAGAACTACGGGACGAACCCCTCAGGGGGTTAAATTGCAACAGACTACATTCAATTGACACAAAAAGTGCTCCATACTGGGTACAATATTTCTTCACTCCTGTCATCTTCGTCATACTTGAGAATTTTTCCCTTTAATGATAGACCTTTAACCCTTATACTGTCCAAGCGTAGTGCTCCAAAAGTAGATCTACATTTTTTTTACATATTTTCAAATATAACAAAAAAAAAAACGTAGATAATTTTTTTTTACACGGTTTCAAACGTAAAAAAAAGTAAAGAAGATCTAATCTTTTTACATACTTTCAAATGCGAAGAAAACGTAGATTACGTTTTGGCATGTTTGGTTAAGGGGGTGTTCAAAGTGTAAAAATATTAACGTGATCTAGAAAGTACTAATCTTTTCGATCAAATGATTGCCACCTGAGCCAGAATACCAGTACTACTTGTACATTCTTAGGACTTGGCAACTTTTTATAGCTTGTTAACTTTCGTTTTTATGTCAAATATTTCGTCTTCCATTATTAAATGTAATTATGTACCTGTTATTACTGTTGTGATCCAGTGTATGTTTCAGAAACATTCATTATCTTATTGTATATTATAAATACTTTATTTATATTTGCAATTTAGAGGACTCAAAATTCAGATTTTGTCTCGCATTTAAATTTAGATAAAGGAAGGACAAAAATGTGATGTAGGCCTGGTTAATAACTTTTTATTAACCTTTCAGGTCGTTGTAGATCAGGCTTACGTTTCAGGTCAAATCCGATGATCTACGTCATGACTTAGCTCATTCTGATAACTTGAGTAGTAATTTGGCAGATAGAGACTTACATTCTATGTGTATGTGTGCATTTCAAATTAGAAACAAATCCGACAGCACACTGTGTATAATGAGAGAAAAAAAAACTGAGACCGTGATTTTCAATTAAAACAGCGACTTTGCAGTGTTTTTTTTGTATGTTTTTTATAGTTGTATTTGTGATTTCTTGGTCTCATTTGATAGAATGGAAGACATATTACAGAAATAGAGATAATTTTGATTGGTTTTAGCACTGGAAATGGCTTGAAACTGAGCTCAAAGTGGCGGAAATGTTAAATTTTTGCCGATGTTCAAGAGTAAACAAACGACCTCACACGTCTAATACACGCCAGCTGGTGGGTCTAATATACATTCACAAATGTGGTGATGATATTTATACAATTATTACAATATTGCATAACAGTAAATCTTCTATTTTTTGGTGTGAATAAAAATTCATTATGTGAATAAAAAATAAAAACGAAATTTATTTGTAAAGCCTCAAAACATAACTAATGAACAGAGGAAATGTTAGTTTAGTGCCAGGAATACCTACATTGTTTATTCTGGACCCTATTTTGAAATTGGAATATTTTGAACTTTGTGTTAAATTGGCCAAATTACCAATTTCTGGTCACTTTATTTTATAGTTGAAACAGTTGACTTTGTGATTTCTTGTGCTCAATCGATAGAATAGAAGTAATACTAGTGAAATAGCTAAGAATTTGGTCGACTGGAATAATGTAATTGGCCTAAAATGGGAGTCAAAGTCGCCGAAATCGCCGATTCATAAATATCGCTGACACATCAAAATTCATGAGAGCATAATTTCGTCAATTTTCCATCAAATTTAGTACTTTTTGTTTTATTACATTTCACAAAAAGATTCTCTACCATTTCATAAGAAAAAATTACAATTTTTTTTTTTTTTAAATTCTTGGAGACTGGGGCACCACTTCAGATTTTGGCCTTGGACCCTGAAAGGGTTAAGATTTATTACCATATATTATGATTACAGTACTAAACAAAGAAGCTTTGGAAAGCTTTGTTAGATCTTGTCAAAGCATTAAATAGGTAAATCTTTGTACAAGTAACCCATAATTAAGAAACTAAGGATGTTTTGGTCCATACTGATTTTTATTAAGTCAGCTGAGCAAGAAAAAGCAGAGGAGACCAGAAGAAAGTTGGGAAGAAGGAGGGAAAAGAAGAAAGTAGCATAGTAATGGTAGTGACAGACTTAGTAATAATAGTAGTAGTAGTAGTATATAAACAGGAGCACTGTAGCAGGCTTAAGGATCCATTCTAGGCATGTCCTGGTAGCAGTAATTACAGTAAATTACATCTCATGGTAGTGGAGGAGGAGGTAACTCAGCACTAAAACACATCACCGAAAGGCTTACAAACAAATAAAAGAGGGGCACTTCAGTAGGTGTACTTACCCTTGCTAG